CTGGGACTGTTGTTTCATATGAAACCCTGTACCAGAGTGACACCCTACCCCTGCCAGCAGCGGCGAGGGGACAAAAGGAAGGAAGTTTCCCTTTTAAATCCCCAGGAATTTTTGGATGAGATAATATTACCGAGTGAAATGTCTCTCCTCCTCTCAGCTCTGTGTTTGGCTCCTGCTGTAACAGTAACCCACTTAGAAGCAGGCGGCCCTTCTGAAGTTATTTTAAACTCTCGGTGGAGTGGAGAGATATTGTAACCTTGGATCACAGCGCTGCCAGCCCCGGGTTCAGCTTTGCCCTTTCAGACATGCGGAAAGTGCACCAGTATATCTCAAGGATTTCGTCCTGAAAGCTTCTTAAAGAGCTGGTCTTGGTTTCAAAGCTTGGCTTGATGGCCCGTACTCAAGGGAACATAGCTCCGTTTCTTCAGATATTTAACCTTGTCTGACATAGTCCTTTGGCTTTGAAATTCCCGTGGATTATTCCTTTTTCTTTTCTTCTTTTTTTTTTTTTTTTTTTGTACATTAGGAAAACGGTTGAAACCATGAGCGTCGACCTCTTTGGGCCCAGAGAAATCTGAAGACGGTCCACGTTCATGTTTCGACCTAAAACCAGATGTTCGGTACCTGGCACAGATGCCAGGTGTGTGCGTTGCTTGTTGTTAGCACTTTGCCCTCGGAAGTGCCAGGAGGATGCCCAGTGCCTCTTCTAAAGGTTCTGGTATCCCGATGGCCGTGTCTGGGAGGAAATCAGGGGCATCTCAGAATAATCCCCCTGGTTATTGTGTCTGCCCAAGTCCACATCGCACCCTGGTGACACCTGAGAGTTATTTTGGGCCGCGGGGCCGGTGAGGGCTGCTGGTTCTTTCCCTCGGCCTGTCTCCTTGACTCATCCCCGTGCTGTGTCCCCAGCCAGCCCCGGCCCGGAGCAGCCACCGCAGACGCTCCGGAGCCCCCCTCCGGGTGTCCACTGTCTTAGGCAGGGAGCCCGTGGGTCTCTGTGGCCTAACAGAGTGCTTTCCCGCAGGACCCGTGGAATCTGCTGGAACACCTGGAGAAAGGGGCTTCTGTGCAATCAGCACATACAACATTTTTAATCAAAATAATGCACGTCTATGTTTATGAAAAGGCAAAGAGCACTTCACGGCTCATAATGAAAAGGAACGTTTCTCCATTCCACCCTTTGCCATTCCCGATGGCTATTCTCAGAGGCAACTATTTTCAATTATTTAATAGTTTTTAGTCATCTCTGAATATTTCTAAATTCCTGTGAGTGATTTTTGAAATAATATGTATGTACTGCTGCTTCCGTCCATGTGAAGGATGAAGATTTTGTTCTCTTATTTTTGACTTCCTCCTGTGAAGGATGAAGATTTGTTCTCTTATTCTCTCCCACCCCCTTTCTTTCCTCTCTACTCCCCATCTCTACATCTTTGCATTATAGTTACATCACAATTATTGCTTAGATCGGGGTTTACATTATTATGGCTGTCACTCTTCTCAGCTAACCGGGTCACACGGGCCATACCCTGATTATGGTTTGCAAATTCTGGTGTAATTTTCTGTGTGTTTTTTCTTTTTTTCTGGAGTTAATAATTGTCTCCCCCACCCCCACCCCACCCCCGTTACTCTGGTTTGCCGTGTAACGGTCACATTTCACATGCTTGTTCAGAACCATAATCATCTTCTCAGAACTGTGAAACCCACTGGGTAATGACTTAGGTTATTGTTGTTGGTTGGTTGGGTAGATGGTTGGTTGGTTGGTTGGGTAGATGGTTGATGGTTGGTTGGTTGGGTAGATGGTTGGGTAGATTGGTTGGTTAGGTGGTTGGTTGGTTGGTTAGTTGGTTGGCTGGCTGGTTGGTTTAGCCTCTCCTGCAGCCCTGGTTGCTGTGGTCCCATTGGGCCTGGTCACCTGGAATTTCCATGGCCTACATCCTGGGAATTCCCTCTCTGACTCTTCTCTGTTGACTTTCCCTGTGGCCTGGATCCCAAGCCTGCTTCATCTTTGTTTATTCTCTTGTTGGTTTTCCTGGAGCTTACAGCAGCTTCCAAGATCAGACATTGGAGGGAAAAAGGGAGGTTTTGCGTTTTAGATCGGGACGTCCTCTGGTTTTCCCCTCCTCCGCTGCCCTTCTACAGCGCTGTCTGAGCTTTAAAGGTGTTTTTATCCATTTGCACTTCGTGACTTTGCCTCGACTATTCCACCCTTTGAGACCAGATCAGTTCACAAAAGAATGTTTTCATTCTTACGGCTACTTGTGCTTCCCTATAAAACATTCTGACACACTCCTAACTGGAGCCCTTGGGAAAAGAGAACTCCGGAGTGTAAATGGTTGGAGGCCTGGGTGGTGGGCCATTCCAGAGGCTGATATTGTCACCAAGGCAAGCTGACAGAGACCTGAACTATTCAGTATTTGGCACATGAGTCGAGGAGGTCAGCTGTCCTTAAAATGCAGTTGAGGTTAAATGAACAGAACCAATAGTTTGGGCACCTGAGCATGTAAACGGGAATGAGGAACTCAGGAGAGAAGGAGCTCAGACCTGGAGCTGGGGAGGTGGCGGAGATGGTGAGGGAGATTTCCGATCCTCTGAGATGTGACTTTATTTTGGTGGCCTCCCTGGGAAAATAAACAACCGACGCCAATCAATCACACCCACTGGCACTTCAGAAAAATTCCTTTTGGTCTTTAAGTCTTTGATCTCCGTTCAGAAGTCAACACCCTTGACAGGACTGACATTTTGAGCCGCTAACAGTCACCCCAGCGGCAGTGGAAGGTTTGATGGGGACGTCTTGGAGGAGAATGGAGGGCGAGACTGCTGAGGGCAGAGGGCCCGCCGGGAAGGGCAGCCGGGATACCAGGCCTGCTGAACCCCAGGGACCAGTAGGTGTGCTTGGGGCTTACGGCGCTCAGATTTCTGCACACCCAGGGACACGCTTTTGAATGGGACCCTGAGTTTTGCTCTGCACAGCATAGTCCTCGGGCCTGGTCGGACCCCCTTCCTCCTCACTGTGGCTTGAAAGTGCCGGCTCTGGGCTTTGCCTTCTGCTTCTGCTGCCCTTGGTTTCTGTTCCTGATCTTCCTCCCCCTCCTCCTCCTCTTCCTCCTCCCCCTCCTCCTCCTCTTCCTCCTCCTCCTCCTCTTCCTCCTTCTCTCCCTTCTCCACATCCTGCCCACCCTCCCAGGCCTCCCCTCAGCTGGCCCTCCGTCTCCTTCACTCTGTCCCTTATTCTTTGTGACATGGGTGTTCAGCTTTGGAGTCATGTTTGCTTTAGGTTTATTCTGTCACGCGTGTATGCCTTTCTCAGAGCCGGTGCCATGAAACGGTGCGACCATATTAAACACCACATGGGCTTATAATCAAAGGGTAGGAAACGCTGGTTTTAATACAGGCTAAAAACCTTTTGTTTTTTTTAAACCTTTGGCCTCTGCAGCCCTTTAATTTATAGATGTAAATCCCGAATGCCTATGAAGTGTTTCTCAAGTTATTGACTCGGCCAGGAACCTGTTTTTCACCTGACAGGGCCAGCCCTCTGCGGGAGCCCGTCTCCAGAAGGGCTGGGTCACTGGCTTGGGCTCTGGGTGGTGGAAACCACGTCAACCTCCACAGTGGATTCCCCTGTGAGCTGAGGACAGTCATCTCTGAGGAACTCGAGGGACACTTTTTATTTTAAAATATATATTTTTTATTGATTTCAGAAAGGAAGGGAGAGGGAGAGAGAAACATCATGCTGCTAAAACAAGTTACTATAATACAACTTAGTGGTTTAAAGCAACACAAATTTATTCTCTTACTGTTCAGAGTTCCGAAGTAAAAAAAATGGCTTGGTGGGGCAATGTTCCTTCTGGAAGCTCTAGTCAGAAGCCATTTCCTGTCTCTTTCAGCCTCTGGAGGCCCACTGCCTGCATTCCTTGGCGCATGGCTCCCTCCTTCATCTTCAAAGCCCATTGCTCCATCTCTTCCCTGCGTCCACCATGCCCTTTTTCCTTTATAAGGACCCTCGTGACTACAGGGGACCCACCCAGTTAATCCAGGATAATATCCCGCCTCAAACTTAATCACATCTATAAATATAACGTCTCCTGTGCCACGTAAGGCAATGTAGTCACAGGTTCCGGGGATTAGGACGCGATTAGGACGTAAGGGCCATCCATTCCTCTGTCACAGTGGGTTTTCAGGTCTTTTGTATCTCTCATCTGCTATAAAGCTAGACAGATTTCTCCCAGTTACAGTAAGGTCTTGATTAATTACGTTGATGAGGATTTTGTCTCCTCAACTTGTTATGAGGGATTCTAGGGCCTGATTCAACCCAGTGATACATCTGTGAGCTCGAACCTTAGGATTGTTCTCTCTTCACGTTCCCGTGGGCTGTGCTTTTATTAGCAAAACTCGGATGATGTTCCTCGACCTATCTTTGATTTCTGTGCTTTGTAAATTCTGAAAAAGCTTTAAAGCATCTAATCTGTTTCCCAGTAACCAGGATGGCCTTGAAACAGCCTGTCCTGTCTACTGGTGATTCTCTCACATTTCTCTCCAGTGGTCTCTCTGTAAATCCGTGTTTCCCGCTCCTCTTGCACAATACGTTGAAGTCAATGCGCTGCTGAGGTCTAGGGGCCAAATAGTCTTGGCTACTAACCCCACTAGTCTCGTTTGTAACTGCTGCTTAATGTCTCGGTGTCACACAGCAGACCAGACTGGCATTTGCACGAGTGCGATGCTGCTTTTCCTTATATCCCAGAGGGTGGTGTCCAGCTTGGGTGACCACTGTGTACAAAGCAGTGAGAAAGCGTCCATAAAAAGTTGGTTATCGCCATTTTCTCCCCAGTGCTCAGCTCATTGAGCTGAGATAGGATTCCCCGTGGGTGGAAAAATGCACGCGTGCGCGCGCGCGCACACACACGCACCCGCCGCCATTTAATTTTAAGCTTTGGGGTTACTTTTGACGGCGGGGCCCGAGAAATACGCAGTGAGCTGATGTGTTCTTTCCTCTTGTTTCCCAGATGCACCCACTGGGCCTGTGTAATAACAATGACGAGGAGGACCTGTACGAATACGGCTGGGTGGGAGTGGTGAAGCTGGAACAGCCCGAGTTGGACCCGAAACCATGCCTCACCGTCCTGGGCAAGGTAAGTCCCTCCGGATCGCTCCGGTTCCGGTTGGTGGTCTCCACGCTGCCGCTTTCTCGGTCCAGAGAAAAGCCTTGCGGGCACTGTGCCCCTTCCCAGGTGGCATCGAGTGGGTGAGCACTAAGACCTGCCTCGTGGCTGCCCACCGTGGTACTGCGAGCTTGGACTCTGATGAAGACTGGCCGCCTCCCTCAGCCCCACGTCTCGTCCACTTTGTGGCCTTAGGCGAGTCACTTCCCCTCAAGGACTCTCCCTTCCTTATCTGTGAAATGGGTTAATAATAGAGTCACCACACCTTCCCTTATACCCCGGGGGCCAGTTGTTTCAGAATTCTGAGACTCTGAGGTTTCAGAAAGGTATCCAGGTGTCATCCACATACATATCTGTGCAGCAAACTTTGTGGGTAGTCACATCGGTGGATTCACTAAAATCTCATCGTGTTCAGTCAGGGCCGCTTGGCCTCCAAAATGAGTCCAGGTCCGTTACGTCTGGCCGCCAAGTAAGCTATGGAAAAACTTTGGGTCTCAGGGCTTTTTTGGTTTCAGAATGGCAGACAGCAATTATGCTCCTGCATTAGAACTTACCTCACAGGATGGCCAGGAGCGGAACTGAGGCATGAGCGTCTAGCACAGAGTAAGCTCTCACACACGCTTGCTGCCTGCCGCTGGCTGGTGTCGTCCTATTTAGAAGCACTAAAAAAGCCTTCTCTCTCTCTCTTTTTTTTTTTTTTTTTTTTTTTTTTAACAAAGCCAAGAATATCAGCACCTCCTCTGACTGCAGTATGAGATAGAAATACATTTACTTTGGAAAACCATTCATCAGTGATCTTAAAATAGGACAGGCAACAACCTGTTTTAAGCCGGATCGTTTTGTGAAAGGGAGAGGTTTGGAGAAAGTTATTAGGATTTTGATTGGAGGGAGGGTGGTATCTCCTAAGGATAGTGTTATTGCCTGGATATTCGTTTTATATTCTCAGAAGCTGCTGTTCTAGGTACTAAGGAGAGACAGCGGGTGTGTGTGTGTGTGTGTGTGTGTGTGTGTGTGTGTGTGGCAGTCCTGGGCTCCTGAGGATTTTCTTGGGAGATCCAGGCAGAAGAGAGCTATTCCCAGCCTTAAAGCCATCCCACCCAATGTCGCCTGGAAGACTTTTGGCCCCGGAGACCCCCCCTGGGTCCCGTCTGTGATGTTTGCCTCCCACCTGTCTTCTGAGGAGTGTCTTCGCACTTGTCGAGCTCCTGTGCCCCTTTTATAGGGGCGGGAGTTAGCATCTGTTCGGTTTATCGCTCACAAAGCTGAACTGAGGTGCGGGGGGTGGCCCAGCCTGATGCTCAGTCATTTGCATAGTTGGCCAGCGCTGCCTGATGATGCCGGGAGAACAGTGACCCCCCTTGAGAATATTCTAATGTTTTCCTCGGAGGAATGCCAGCCACATCCAAAGGCGGTAGGAACAGTGCTTTCCTTGTAGGCAGTATGCTCCTAATAGAGCATTTTCTCCTTTCCTTGGGCTGCTGCTATGCGGGTCTCAGCAGCTTGTCCTATTATTTTATTATTATTATTATTATTATTATTATTATTATTATTTGCCCTAGTTTGGTGGGACTCTGCCTTTGTGTTTGTTGTGTCTGTAAATGAGTTGGAACTGGACTCCCCAGGACACCCCCCGCCCCCTTCTCCCGTTGTTTCTCCCGCACCCAGAGAGGCATGTGAGGTCTGGCCCACAGGACTGTGGGGCCAGGGGGCAGGAAAACCCAGATGTATATCGAACCATTAAGCACTTGTCGGGCTCATTCACTCACCAAATATTTATTGAATGCAGGGGCCCAGCAACTGGGCGCGTGGTTCTGCCTGCTTCCAGGCAGCGGGCCTCCCTCACCCCACACACACTCCGTGTTCCTGTTGGGAAGGTTGTACGGTGGCCAGACGGTGTTTACATGTGGTTAGTTACCGAAATTTGGCTTGCCACCCAGAGGTAAAACCATTAGCAAAAATGCTTGGGCAAGACAGCTTCGCGTTTGTTTCAAACCCGGGTTGGTGTAGGAGGTGTGAAAAGGCAGGCATCTCAATCTCTCCCTTTCTCTCCTCCCTCCCCCTCTCTCTTATTCTCTTTTTCATCTTCTCCTTAAAGCGTAGTTATCCTCAGCTTTAGTACCTCTGCTAACTGTTGGGTTTCTTTTTCTGGTCCCCCAAGGGCAGTGGCAAGAGATGAGGGTAAAGACATCTCTGGCAGCCTGGTGTCCTGCAGATGGCACCGTCTTTTTGTCATTTCTTGGCTTCGTGGCTCTGGCGAGGAGGTGGGCAGTGGAGAGAGAGGCGTGGAAGGAGAAACAGCCAAGTCAGTGTGGGGGTGGGGGGCGGGACTCCTCTGCATGGGTGTTGAGACTTGTTAAAAGCACAGAAGGGAGAATGTCTTTGAGGCATTCGGTGGAAAAGGCTGGTGGGGGAACAGGTGAGGGACAGGCACAAACCCCTCTCCTTCCCCCTTACCCCCCTCAATACCCACCCGCCCACAGAAAACGCCATGGGGCGAAGAGTTGGAGTAAGAGAGGAATGTCCTAAATTAAAAAAAAAAACAAAAACGTAACTGCCTCTCCAGGAGTTCAAATAAAGTTTCGTTTTAAAAGCAAAAGACGTAAACTCATCACCTTGGTTTATTGCTGGGCGCTTTTGAACTCCTCGGAGAGGAACACTGTAAACTCTGGAGAAAGGAGTGATTTATGATCCCTTCCTGCTCGCCTTTTTGATTCTGTAGGAGGCGGAGCAGACCGGAGGATCAGCTAGGGAGGAGGGTTGGGGAGAGCGTGACCCCCCTGGGGCAGATCTTAGCTTTTGGGGGCCTCTTTTTCTCTGAATGCGGTGAGGCTGTTCTAGGCTCCTTGCTCTTTTAAGCCTCTGTATCATATTTAAAACCTCCCCTTAACTATTCCAGTGTGAGGAGATTTTAATTGTAGCAGTGAAGACAGACGTCGTTACCTGTGACAGTTTAAGTCCCAGGAAATGAAAATAGAATAAAGCTGACAGTTCGGAGCAGCTTGCTATTGAGAGTCAGGCTCGTACACAATCCCCACAGCGCAGGGGCCTGTGTCTGTGACCGCCAACCTCGTGAGAGGTGTGGCAGGGGACTCACAGGATCTGCTGGAGTTCCTAACAGAGCCCACTGGCCAGGTTTCATAAATTGAGGCAGAGTACCCCTTCTCCCGCCCCCCATACACACACACACACACACACACACAGACACACATACACATACACACACACACACAGACACATACATACACACAGACACACACACACACAGACACACACAGACACATACACACACACACACACAGACACATACACACACAGAGACACATACACACACACAGACACACACACACACACACACACACACACACACACCTTCATGCCCCAACTTTGGAGTCTTAGGGAGGATTTTGAAAGACAGGATGGTCAACAGCTATGGACTGGGCTCTTTCTTGGACAGAGAGGAAGTTAATGAAAAGACAAGAAAGGGAATTTAAAAAATATATATTTTAATTTTTTTTTTTTTTTTACAGAGAAGAAGGGAGAGGGATAGAGAGTTAGAAATATCGATGAGAGAGAAACATCAGTCAGCCGCCTCCTGTACACACCCTACTGGGGATGTGCCCGGAACCAAGGCACATGACCTTGACCGGAATCAAACCTGGGACCTTTCAGTCTGCAGGCCGATGCTCAGTCCACTGAGCCAAACCAGTCAGGGCGAGGCATGGAGTTTTAAGTCACAGAGATCCAGCTTTGGCTGAGTGACCTTGGGCCTTCCTCTTGGGCCTTCCTCTTCTCGTTGGGGCTTGTGCGGGTTTTGTGGTGGCGGGGGCTCTGCAAGATGCTGGTGGAGCGCTTAGCACGGAGCCTGGCTCAGGGTCAGTGCCCGGTGAGAGGGTAAAAGCAGCCATCATGGTGGGCTGTTCGCCATGAGCTAGAGTGTTGTATGCAGGGTGCCTCCTCTCATTGTCAGGCTGGCTCTGAGGTTGCGGCCACATCCCCATTTTGCAGAATAGAAACTGAGTCCCAGAGGTGCTGATCACATAGCCTAGGATTGAAATCTCCCAAGTAGCTAAGGGGAGGTCTGGGATAAAGACTGTCCTAGTACCTCATCGGTGTACTCTGAAGAGTCAGATCCTCTTGCCCTGCCTCTGAGGGCCAGTCCTGGCACACACCAGGCTGGAGGGGCCTGGCGGCTTCTACAGAGAGGCGAGCTGTGGGAATGATCTCCAGGAACGGGGCAGAGAGAGAGGGAGCAGTGAGTTCTGCAAGGGGCATTGGAAGTTGCTGGGGGAAGAGGAGGCTTCAGATTGAGGAGCCTTCATCTCCGAGGCAGCTGGGAGCCACTGGAGGTTCCTGACCGGAGCACGGGCGCCATAGAGGAATTTATCGGGAGAGGAGCACGGGCGCCATAGAGGAAACGCTCACGGGCAGTGGCAGCTGGGCGAGGTGACTCTTTGCTGCTGGATGTTTTCAGGAACAGAATGGGCCCAGACGTCAGTTCTTTTAAAGGCTTTGATGAGGCCCAAGCCAATGACATTGTCAAGGACACCTCTTGTTTGCCTTCAAGACGCCCCAGCCTCTTCCTCTGGCCTCTTTTCAGTGTGAAACATATAGACGGGCGAGGTGGTTTGAAATCCTGGCTCTTCTGATGAGCAGCCGGAAACCCGGGGATGAGGGGCTGACAGAGAATTGAACCCTTATGCTCATTTTCACTTCATCAGCCCGCATCCAGCTCTCAAAATGTCTCGGTAACTTCTTCCCAAAGCATGAACAAAGCCCCTGGTAACCAAAATGACTGGAAGACAGAAAGCAGAGTCGGAGGGATTTTATTTTTTCAGGCTGGTTGTGAGGAGAGGGGAACACGTAATGGTTAACACTTGGATTTAGACATCAAACTAACCCGAGTTAATAAACCTCACTTCCGGCCCTGCGAGCTGTGGGACCCGGGGCAGCCTCTGAACCTCTCTCCCCTA